GGTGGTATGTTAGTTTGATAATGGTTTGTGTATTAGTAGTATAGGGAGATCGGGTGGTATGAGTTTTTGGTGGCGTGATGCAAATGTGAATATTATTTCCTATTCTACACACCATTTTGCTGTGGATGTGTGTAATAGGGATGGGACTCCTATTTAGAGAGCTATTGGGATCTATGGTTGGCCGGAAAATACTAGTAAACATTTGATGTGGGAGTTGATGAAATCGCTGAAAAATTCTTGTAGCATTCTTTGTCTTATGTTTGGCGATTTTAATGAGATTGTTAGTATGTCGGAGAAGGAAGGGGGAATGGTGAGAAGTAAGGGTGTTCATAACCAGGTACCTGAAGAGTCGCGTACCCGCTTTGTGGGGTAGCTGAAACAGAGGCCCATGACCTGACCCGATAAGATCGGGTACCCGAACCGGGTACCCGATTTTATCTCGTCGGGTCATAGGGTATTTGAAATTTTATTTTTTTAAAAAAAAGCATGTAAATAAAAAAATTAAAAATGGGAAGCAAAATTTCATTCTTTATGTTTGGTTGGCAAATCACATATGTGCGGAATATACATTAAGTCATTAGGTAAAGTAAACTTCTAAATGCCATCTTTTTGATCAAGTATGTACTCATTTGCAAAAAAATACATAAAAATAATAGAAGTACAAATTAAAACCAACTCATCAAACAATCGTGAAGAAGTTAGATGTAAGGGTTAGATAGTTTATACTCTAATTACAAGCATATAATGCTTCAAAAACCTCAAATTTAATAAACTTTACACAAAAAATCCTAGTGCCATACATGGACCTCGAAGGGCTTGAGTGCCTTCATACCTTTGGGCTTGTTTAGATTCCCACCAAATGATTATGGAAATGGAATTTTTGAACATGCATGGTGTTTGATTAAATTTGAATGAGTGAGGAAAGACTAACGAGAGGTGGATTTTGAGTGAGAGGAGGAGAGCTGGAGAGGTGAATGAGTTTTTGAGGCTTTGAGAGTGAGATGAGAGAGAAAAAAAAGTGTTGTGTGCAGCTGAGTAAAGAGACAAGATAGAGTGGTAAACCACTAAACCCTAAAGAGTACTCCGTATTTCAAGGCTTCCAGGAAAACAAAACAAAAAAAAATTAAAAAAAAAAATAAACGGGTAATTATCGGGTACCCGAGGTACTCATCTTGCGGCCCATTACCCGACCCGGAATTTGAGATTTTAACGGGTCGGGTACCCAACCCGCAAAATGTGAATAATTACCCGTCGGGTAATTTGAGGGTTTTCGGGTCGGGTTTTTTTGAACACCCCTAGTGAGAAGGGAGGCATGTATGGACGCTTTTAGAGATGCCATTGACCATTGTGGGTTGCGTGATTTGGGGTATAAGGTTAACAAATTTACGTGGCAATGGGGTAACTCATCGGATAATGTGATCCGCGAGAGACTTGATCGTTTTATGGGCGATGATAGATGGTGTGAGTTGCACCCGAAATTTTTTGTCCAACATTTGGTGCGAGAGGAATCTGACCATTCGCCTATTATACTTGATACCCTGAACTACTTTGACAGAGGTAAAAAGGGTAAGCTCTTCAGGTTCGAAGCGATGTGGCCTTCGAAGGATGACTGTGCTCAGGTCGTATCAAATGTATGGAGTGATGGTGCGGGTTTGGCTGCCCACAAACGTATTGACTTATGTGCACAAGAGTTAAAAAGATGGGCAACTACTTCCTTCGGCGATACTAAGAAGAAAATCAGAACGCTTGAGAAGGATTTACAGGAAGCTCAAGGTGGGCATACTGATGCAAGAATGTTGACGACTTGTGCTAAGTTGGTTGATGATTTGAGGTAGCTTCGGAGATTAGAGGAATCCTATTGGTATGCTAGGGCCTGTGCAAATGAAATGATGGATGGAGGCAAAAATACGACATACTTTCATAGGAAGGCTAGTCAGAGGAAAAAGAAGAATTGCATCGACGGGTTGTTTGATTCGACTGGGGTTTGGAACGAGGATGAGAAGATGATTTGCAATATAGTGGCCGAGTAATTTTCATCATTATTCACTTCGGATTGTCCAACGGAATTTGAGGCTGCTTTTTTGGGGTTACAAAGGGTGATTACGGATTCTATGAATGATACTCTTGACATCGAACCTAGCTCCGAGAAAATCAAGCAGGCTCTCTTCCAAATGCACCCTAACAAAACTCCGGGTATTGATGGTATGCATGCTCTATTTTTTGAAAAATTCTGGCATATATTGGGTCTGATATTGTTTTACTGGTCAAAAATTGGTGGAAGGGGTTAGTTGATATTGCTGATATTAATAAGACCTGTATTGTGCTTATCCCGAAATGCAATGAATCCAAATATATGACAGAGTATAGGCCAATTAGATGTTGTAATGTGATTTATAAAATAATATAAAAAATTATGGCGAACAAGTTGAAACCCCTTCTTAATGATATTATTTCTATAAATCAGAGTGCTTTCATTCCGGGTCGTTTGATAACTAATAATGCTTTGATTTCTTTTGAGATTTTTCACTCTATGAAGAGAGGGGATGAGGGGCGAACAGGTCTGTTGCACTTAAATTGAATATGAGTAAGGCCTATGATAGGGTGGAATGAAGCTTTCGGGGAAAGGGTGATGGCCGAATGAGATTCTGTGATAGTTGGATTTGCAGGGTGATGAACTTCATCTTGAGTGTTTCGTTCTCTTTCAAGGTGAATGGTGAGATTTATGGCTCGGTTATCCCATCCCGGGGTCTTAGGCAAGGTGATCCCATTTCCCCCCTACTTGTTTATGTTTTGTGCCGATGCTTTTTCTGCTCTAATTACTCAAGCGGCTCATGATAAGGAATTAAGTGGGGTTAGAGCATGTCGTTCTGCTCCAAGAGTTTCTACATTTTTTTTTGTCGATGATAGTATTTTATTTGCTAAAGCCACTCTGCAGGAATGTTCGAAAATTGCTGATATTATCAGTACGTATGAAAGAGCATCTGGTCAGAAAGTTAACTTGAGTAAGACAGAGGTTGCTTTTAGTAAATGTGTCACTGTTGAAAGGAGGAATGCCATTATTAACACTCTTGGTGTGAGGGAGGTAGAGAGACATGAGAAGTATTTGGGGTTACCAACTATGATCGGGAAATAAAAAAAAAAGCCATTTTTTCTTGCTTGAAAGAGGATTTGGAAGAAGTTGAATGGTTGGAAAGAGAGGCTACTATCTAGAACGGGAAAGGAGGTGCTAATTAAGGTCGTTGCTCAAGCTATCTCTTCGTATATGATGAGCATTTTTCATATTCCGGAAGGTCTTATTGATGAGATCCATTCTCTTCTCTGTAAATTTTGGCGGGGATCGAGAGAAAATGCTATGAAGCTTCATTGGCAAAGTTGGGATAAGCTTTGTCTTCCAAAGGCTATGGGGGGCTTAGGTTTTTGTGACCTTAACTGCTTTAATTAGGTGCTATTAGCCAAACAGATTTGGCGCTGCATTCTAATGAGGGTACCTTGCTTCACAAAATTCTTAAGGCAAGGTATTTTAAAAATTCGTCAATCTTGGATGCTTTGAGGGGGCATGATCTAAGCTTTGCTTGGAGAAGTATGTGGGGTGCTAAGGGATTGCTGAAAGATGGCCTTATGAGAAGAATTGGGGATGGCTCTAGCACTCGGGTCTGGAAGGATGCATGGATCTGTTTGGATGGTCAAGTTGTTACGCCTGTTATGCCTGTTGGGGGGGGATGAGAATATGGTGGTTAGGGAGCTGTTCAAGGATGGCCTGTTGGAATGGGATGAGGTAAAGATTGGTAGCCTTTTTATGCCTGAAATTCGTGACTGGAATTTTTCAATTTTTCTTTCAAATAGGGTCAGGACAGATGCTTGGTATTGGCGTTTCTTGAAGAATGGGGTATACACTGTGGATCCGGGTACTGGTTGGCTAAATTGGGGGGTTCCAATCAGCACACTCAAGCTAACGATGATGCTATTTGGCGCTTTATATGGAGAATTAATGGACCTCCTAAGCTACAACACTTCATTTGGAGTGCTGTTAAGGGAAATTTAGCGGTGAAGGGTAGGTTGGTACAGCGACATATAATCCATGATGCTTCGTGCCAACTATGTGGGCATGACAATGAATCGATTTTACACTCACTGCTACACTGTAATATAATGCGGCACATCAGATTGGTATATTAGTGAACATGCGGGCAATTTAATTGGGGCTCCAATCAGTACGTTTGCTGAGTTTTGGGAGTGGATTTGTAGCAAGTACAATGCTGATGTGGTGGGTAAAATGGCTACGTTGTTGTGGGCGGCTTGGAGATGCCGTAACTTAGTGCTCTTTGGAAATAAAAACCCAAACCCCGTGATGTTGGCTCCTGGGTTTCTCAAGTATGTGCATGAATATAATTTGTATGCTGGGAAGGTGTTTAGACCTGTTGTACATGCCTCTATCCAAGGAGTGCAAGTTCGTGGGAGCGCCCTTAGTATGGGTGGGTGAAGGTGAATACAGATGTGCATTGTCCTGATGGGGGATGTCTAGCTTGGGTGCTGTGATCAGAGATGAGAATGGTGCACTCTCAGCTGCTGCTACTCGCAACCCGCTACTGCCCCTGAATGTGCTGAAGCTTTGGTTGTTCGATACGCCCTCCAATTAGCTCGAAGATTGGGTTTCACTCGTGTGTGGGTGGAATCGGATGCTAAAATGTGGTGCGAGCTGTCCGATCAGTTGATGGTGGCCAATCTACATTTAGTGTTATTTTTGATGATATTCGGAAAGATAGTTTGTTCTTTGATGCCTGTTATTTTACTCATGTCAAGCGAAATTGTAATACCGTAGCTTATCTTGTGGCTAGACGAGATACTGGATGTAATGTTGAACATGTTATTCTGAGTTCCTTTTCCCAAAGCCTCACAACTTTGACGGAATTGGACATAACTTGATAAAACGAGCAACTATCTTTCTTTAAAAAAAAAAAGTTATTGATAACTAAAATACGTTTTCAGCTTCAGCTAAGAATTTACATAGTCTGCAAATTCAGAACCAAAAAAACCTGAGGATTGAGATTCCATCATGACACCTTAAAAAAATAAAGATATAAATTATAATTATAATCGGCTTAAAAATTTAAACCAAAGTAAAACTCCTTCATACTAGTCCCCCTAATAACCCGTGAGGAGTACATATTATGATCTCCCCCTAATAATTCAAATTTCTCTATCTTTCTATCTCGGCGACGTGGGAACTACCCATTGGCATTGGTAGGACCTTTTTTTTCTCTCTCTCTGTCTGTCTTCCAGAATCATCATCTTCTTCTACTCTTTCTTGGTGTTGTTTGCTGTTTGTTGGTGTAAAAATGGCGACTTTGGCGCTGAACTTATTAGCGTCAGCTGGATTAACACGCCCCGTGTTCGTTTCGAGTTGGTGGGACGAGATCAACGAGTCAACTCAGTGGCAAGATGGCATCTTTTTCACCCTTTGTGCTATCTATGCCATCGTTTCAGCTGTTGCTCTTGTAATCTTCTTTGCTCTTGTTCAATTTTCTGCCAATTTTACTTATTTTGGTTGTTCAAGTTTACTTCTTTTACTTTTAATTAGTGGGTCTTGTATAAATTTGAAATTTATTAGCTTAAGCTCAATCCTTTGACTTTCATTGAGTTTTGGGTATCTGGGTTTTTGTTGATTAACTTGCTCAGATGATTGTAATTTTAAAATTGAGCTGAAATCAGGTTTAGTCATGATTTAATGTACTTTAATTAGCTAATTCCAATGCTTTGACTTTGATCAAATTCGGTTTGGTTGGGAATTTGTTGATTAAATTGATACTAATGTTCTAAATTATTTGGGTTTGGTTGAATTTGATGATGAGCAGATTCAACTTATAAGGATTGAAATGAGAGTGCCTGAATATGGTTGGACAACGCAGAAGGTTTTCCATTTGATGAATTTTATTGTCAATGGAGGTGATATGAGAATTGACTCTTTTGCTTGCTTATAGTATTGCTTGCCTTTTTGTAATTACTTGGTGTTAAGATTGGGACCTTGCTTCTTGCAGTTCGTGCTGTGATTTTCGGGTCTCACATGTTTGTATTTGCTTTGAAGCCCAAGGTGAGCAATCCTTTTGGTTACTCTTACTTCATGAAGTTATATTTAAGCCTTTATGATTAACTCCTGTGTTTTTAGAGTCCAAAACAACATAATACAACAATGGTGCCAAGTGAAATTCTCACTGATTAGTTTTATAATGTGTACACCAGAATGCTTAATGGAGTTTGTATCCTAGAGATTGAGTATTATATAGCTGTATATGTGTTATTTTGATGATTTAGTAACCTTTGAAGCTCACACCAGCAACAGATTTGACCATGATGTTGTTTTGCCTTTGTTAATAAGAGTATTACAAAAATACAAACATTGTCATCGTTTAGTGCACATCACAAAGACAATATTACATACACTAAAACAGCCCTAAAGCTGGAATGTTAAAGTTTTAGAAGTTTAAGCTATTACTTTCTGTCATTTATACCCGGAGAATCGACAGGGTTAAGCATATTCCCAGGAAATAGCAGTGCTTTGATTTATCACAAATGACATTGTTTGTGGAAAGTCGTTATGTTTGGTCATTCTATTCATCTTTTACATCGTGATGTTGATTTATTACTTTAAGATATAAATGTGTGATGTTGCTCATGGTAATAGTCTTATGTTATGCTTTACACAGGTCTTAACATCAGTGTTATTGGACTTCCCCGGGCTGTTATTCTTTACGACATACACACTGTTGGTTCTTTTCTGGGCTGAGATATATTATCAGGCAAGTGAGGAGGTGTTCTTGATCTATATTTCTGTACCACTCTGATGCATTTTCTTGTTAAAAAAATCTTTTTTGCTCAATGAGTTATATATATGGGGTATATTTTGGCTTGCTTTTTTATCTGCTTGTGTAGGATATCAGCACTACTGAAATGATTATTGTGAGCATGAAACAACTGAGTTGCATTACTGAACCGTTCTTATACGATGCAATTTATGTTGTTTCACATAATTTCAGTGTCCATTTTACTGATATTTTCCCATGATCTGTTATCTTGCTCATACAATTCTTTTGAGGTCTAATTGTTCTAATAATTTAATGTATTCTTCAATCATAATGCTTATGCATGTTTGCCTGATTTTGAAATTTTCTTTCTTTAACAGGCTAAAAGTCTTTCAACAAATAAGCTCAGGGCCTGGTATATTGCAGTTAATTGTATAGTCTATGTTACACAGGTCAGTCTTCTTTATCCTCTTGGTAGATCTTGTGAGAGCGGGTCAGAGCCCTTGGGAGAGGGGGTAACTTGGTACTTTGTATAATCAGTCCAACCACTTAATAAATTATGTATCTATTTCATATTATCTGTTTGACTTGCCAGCTTGTTTCTTATTCCACGCCATCTATTACTGTATGTCCAATGCAATACTATTTGTCATGTCAAGCCATCAAGGTCCAAAGTATCAATAGATAACCTATTCAACAATCACCAAATGTTCATGTGTGTGTGTGTGTGTGTAACCTTGAAAAACAAGTATTATGAAATGGTAGGAGTGCTCAGTAATCAGTATTGAAAGCATGTATACTTCTCTAGCTATCTATGAATACGTAAAACCAGCCAGTGGTGTCTAGAAGTTGAAACAAACATTACAGGAGTGTGAACTAAATTAGAATATCTTTCAGTTTCTAAAACCTTCATATTTCAGCATAATGACAAATAACTTTGATTGTATCATACCTATTAACCTATACATTTCTTCAAGTGTTGTAGATTAATTAACTGTATAGTGCATGCATTCGTTAAGCAGAACAAAATAGGGCTATGGGAAAATAACAAGATTTATGAACTACGAAGGATGCCCTTACATTTCTGTTGTTACCTCAGATCGAAAGGTCAATGTTATTCACTTTGTTTCCTATTAATTCCCTTTCCTTTCCCTCAACGGAAGCCTCGTGAAAGGCACAAGGGCAAGGATTATAGGAAACTTTTGATGATCCTAACCCTGTATGGACTTCATATATGTTTTCACTTGTTTGGTCATGGACACTGCTTACTCATTTGAATAATAAGTATAATTCTCCCTTATTACATTTTTGTATAAGTTGGAACTATTTAATAAGATCAAACATTTTGGCAAATCATGGGTTTGGAAAATGTAAGTGATATAATGAGCTTAAGGTGGGAGGGATTGGCACTGAGGCAGGTGCTCTTATGCATGTGAATAATCTTGGAGGGAAAGTAGTGTGATCACGCTTATCAGTATTTGCATTGTTTTACATATACCTTTTACAGTCTTATTAATTCTGCAAATGCACTGAGTGAATCTGGCATGACAGGCTTTAATCTGGATATACATATGGATACATGATAGCAGTTTTTCTGAAACCATTGGACAAATATTTATCGCAGGTTTGTTGTGCAGTTTAATGTTTAACAAAACTTTGCTTTCTGTTTATCTTATCCGTGGTGGATTGTTAATTTATCATAACGCTATTTTTTCTTTGCAGTGGTGTCCTTTATTGCAGCACTTGGTTTCGTGCTGTACGGGGGAAGGTAGACATTAATCTTCATTAATATTTGTGTGCATAAGCATAAAATAAAATCTAGAGAAGTATAATTCTTGTTGCTTGGTTTCATAGGTTATTTAATATGTTGCGGCGCTTCCCAATTGAATCAAAGGGGCGAAGAAAGAAGCTTCATGAGGTTATTTTCCTATCCCAATGACAACATTTTTTGCTGTGTTTTATATATCTATTTTGTAGTGTATGAGGGTAGATTAATTGAAAAACATCTTTCTGCTGTGTTTTATATATATATTTTGTAGTGTCGACTAAAACAATCATTACAAACTTTAGAAAACTAAAGCACAACTTTATTACCCAAACTAAATGACAGTTGAAATTCGAGAATTGGTCTTTAAGAGTGTAGAACTGTAGGTATGCCACGAGAAAATATTGCTTGTATGGTTCGTGTTGTATATTGTGTTTGTGAATGATGAAGATGTATCAGTATAAAGTTATGGAACAGGTGATCAAGTTAGTGCCAACATTCTGACTAAAACATATTATTGCAGGTTGGATCAGTTACAGCAATATGTTTCACCTGCTTTCTCATTCGCTGTGTTATGGTAAGCCTGGATCTCGGCCATCTGAATCATATGGGCATGTTTAGCTTTTCTGTTGTTTCTGATGTTATGGTTTAATTATTGATGAGATCATATGATTGATGCCATCCCTATCTTCTATTTTTGTCTTTCACCTGTTTCTTCACCATATACTCGTATGATCTAATGCTTTGAACTTGTCATGAGTATTCAGAATCAGATTCCTTGGTTCACATGCTCTACCTGCTTGACAATGTTCTCATTACATAAAAATGTTTACAGGTTGTAATATCTGCCTTTGATTCTGATGCATCTCTTGAAGTCTTGGATCATCCAGTTTTGGATCTCATATACTACATGGTATATTTTATTATCTTTTTTTGAACATATCTACATCTATGATCCGAACACAACATATTTATTTCTTACTTATAATGGAATATTAGGTTGTTGAGATACTACCTTCCGCACTTGTCCTCTATATTCTGCGAAAGCTTCCTCAAACAAGAGCATCTGGTCAGTACCACCAAATCCAGTGAGCTTAAATTATTGCCATCTTCTGCAATTCATTGGCCTAGGATTGAGCTGAATTTTGGATCAGAGATATCATCCGAATGCCCAATGTACTGTCTGTGCTGCCTGACAAGGAGTATCTCCTCTTACTCGCCCCTTCTGTGTGCATGCATCTAGTTTGCAGTTTTTTGTGCCATATTGGTTAGAACTAGTTCAGGTTTCTCTACCTGGGGCATGGTGTTACTTCATTTATTTGTACTAAATTACTAATAGATCTTAAAAAGGTCCCAAATTGTATAAAGTTCCATTCAATTTTGATACAGTAATTCAAGTCTTGTACTGTGTGTTTCTCCGGCGAAATCATCACCTTATATTTCAGCAACCTCAAATGGCAACTTCTCTTTATTTTTGCCATTCAATCACATGGCTCTTCAACTATGAAAAACTTGGTCCTGATTCCGGTGTCTTCCATCAAGTTGCATCTTCGGTGTTTCTATACCACCTAAAATAATGAGTGCTAATGAAAACTTACAAAGATTGTTCTCACATGAGAATAGAATTTAAGGCTTTTAAGACGAGCATTGACATGAAAAATATCTTACAAATTACATAAAAATTTATCAATAACATTATAATTAACTACCTACTAGTCTACTACCAATCGGACTGTGGGTATTTTGACGTTTTTGCCTGGATTATCAGGCCATGATTAGGATTAATACTCGGGTCGTGTACTTGTATTAGATTAACATATGTATTAACTTTATGCTTCTAACTCTTAAAATTATAAGGAAAGTTAGAAAAGTCTCCAACTTTGATCACGAGAGTTTAGCTGTAATTTAAAACCTTAAGACAGAATTATAGTATTTTGTATGCTTGGATGGAGTTGTATCACTGGACTTAACAACTATGGCAATTGGGCAGTCCAGGCACAGTGGTAATGTGGGCTAACAATGAATCATAACCAACACACTTAATCCACACCATGCAATAGTTATAAGGTGCACCATTAGGTGCACTATGTCTATACTTTTGAACATTTTACAAAAAATAAACATTTAGTAAAAAAATATGAACACGTCACAAAAATTGAACATAAACATCCAATTTTATATGTTATATTTTATAAAAAATATTGTTCATTTTATATGAACTAGATGTTTAGTTTATATTACAAAGCTATTGAATTATTATGAGTCAAACAAACTTGTTTTAAAAAATTGATGTTTACTATATAGTGTTGTGTTCATATTTAAAATTTCAATGTTCATTTTCAAATAATAAATGTTCAAATTTGAGTAGTGTCATGTTCATATTTATTTATTTATTTAATTTTTTACCACAGGAATTCATATTTATTGATGCTCATTATAAAATAGTGTAATGATTATATTTAAAATTTTCAATGTTCATTTTCAAAAATTATATGTTCAAATTCTAATAGTTTCATGTTCATATTTTAAAAACAAATAGGTTTTTTTTAACACACACCAAAGATAATATTACAAATAGGTTCAAATACAATGTATATACGAATAAAGATAAAATAAATTGTTTAAAATATGTTCATTATAAATAAATGTATGTTCATTTTTTAATAATATATGTTCATTTGTACTAAATGTTCATATTTAATATACTACATGTTCAAAATTTGTGATTGTTCAGATTTTTTTACTAAATGTTCAAAATTTGCGATTGTTCAAATTTTTTTTACTAAATGTTCAAAAGTATAGGTGTGGTGCCTTGCGATTGTTCAGATTTTTTTACTAAATATTCAAAATTTGTTGTTGTTCAGATTTTTTTTACTAAATATTCAAAAGTATAGGCGTGGTGCACCTGTTTCTAGGTGCACCAGGTTGCACCTTAAAATTTGCGCACACCATGGGTTTGACTACAAATGGTGAATCAGACTTAAGCCCGATTTCAGAATAATATCGCAAAGTCACACTTGATAAAATAAAAAAGTAATACCCCCGTTTAACAATAGATACAGCCCATACATTAGATATCGCAAAGTTCATTTTGATTTTTTTTCTTTTTAACACACTACTTTGAGTCCTTTGACCATTAATTTTTGTATACATTAATAAATTAAAGTAAAAATTTTAAATTTTATTTTGAAAATAAACGTTGAGATTAATCCAATAATAATATACATAAAAATATTTAATTTTCATACATATGTAAAAAAGTGTAATCAAAGTTAATAGATGAATAGTACACAAAGTCAAAATATTGTATCTATTGTGAAAGAGATGTAGTATATGATTTTAGGAGACGGTGTTAATTGAAGGGTGGTCTATTCCGTTATTTTTGAGTGATGAAGGAGTGTATTTTAAGATTATGTACAAAATTATATACTCTGGAGATATTTAAAATTGACAAACATATTGAATTTAGGGATGTCAGTGTGGCGGGTCAAGTAGGAAACGTGCCCCATCTAATGGGGCAGGGATAGGTTTCAATTTGACAAGCGGTGGGGCGAGGATAGGGATTAAAAACCATACCCGTCATGGGCGATGGGGCATGGTGGATTTTAGGTTGTACCCGCCCATCCCCGTTTCACTCCACCCGCCTCACTTGTACCCGCCCTATACCCGCATCCATATATTTAAAGAAATTAAAATACATACTTTTATACTTTTTTTTTTAAGGATATACTAGTATCAAGTAAAATAAAGTAGTAATAAATTTAATACTTTATAATAGACTTATAGTTGTATGATAAAGAATATAATTGTGGAACATTAACTTATTATGTGATTTTCTTTAGTCGTAATTTATATTACATAGTTTTGTTGTATTTTGAAGACGGGGATTAGGTGGGTGCAGATATTCAAGTGGGGGTGGGATGGCCTGGGGATGGGAAGGTCAACATTTGCTTCACCCTGCCCCATTGACATTCCGTTATTGGATTAGTAAATACAAGATAGAAATAAGCAATAAAGCATTGATAAGTTTTAGTTAAACAGTATATAATTTTGAGTTTCAAATTTTGTTTTTATTGCTCAGGATAATAACAACAGGTTTACATGCCCTTATCTCAACTATTAGTTAACAATAAATCATCTAATAAACCTTTGGTGAAAAATTTGAAAGATTCGGCGGTGTGCCAGGAGAAGGTTCAGAGTGAGATGGTTTTACATTGGTAGATGCTCTAAAATTTGAAAGACTCGGTGGCGTGCCAGGAGATGGTCCAGAGTGAGATGACTTTACATTGGTAGTTGGTGTAAAATCTGAAAGACTTGGTGGCGTGCTAGGAGATGGTCTAGAGTGAGATGGCTTTACATCGGTAGTTGATGTAAAATCTGAAAGACTCGGTGGTGTGCCAGGAGATGGTCCAGAATGAGATGGTTTTACATCAACAGCTGATGTAAAATCTGAAAGACTCGGTGGCGTTCCCAGAGATGGTCCAGAGTGAGATGGCTTTATATCAGTAGTTTGTGTAAAATCTGAAAGACTTGGTGGTGTGCCAGGAGATGGTCCAGAGTGAGATGGCTTTACATCGGTAGTTGGTGTAAAATCTGAAAGATTCGGTGGTGTGCCTGGAGATGGTCCAGAGTGAGATGGCTCTACAACGGTAGTTGGCTTAAAATCGAAAAGACTCGGTGGTGTGCCGGGAGATGGACCAGAGTGAGATGGCTTTACATCGTTTGTTGGTGTAAAATCAAAAAAACTCGGTGGTGTGCCGGAAGATGGTCCAGAGTGAGATGACTTTACATCAGTAGTTGATGTAAAATCTAAAAGACTCGGTGGTGTGCCAGGAGATGGACCAGAGTGAGATGGCTTTACATCGTTTATTAGTGTAAAATCAGAAAAACTCGGTGGTGTGCCAGGAGATGGTCCAGAATGAGATGGCTTTACATTAAACTCACGAGCCGATGTTGTTCCTTTGTTTATAAAAAAATCACAATAATAAAAAGAGGTTAAATATAGATTTTGGATGAGCAATTGATTAAGAATTAACAAGTCTTAGCTTGTTAATAAAATTATTACATATATATGTGTGTATATATATACATATAGGTGGTGTGCCAGGAGATCCAATACAGCAACCAAAGAGACAAATATGATGACGATATTGCAGTAGCAATTCATAATATAAAATTATTTATGAAATATAATTAAAAGAAACATCATGTGAAAATTTTGACAATTTAGCATATATAAAATAATACAAAATATATGAACTCATAAATTTATCATTTCTTTATTTTGTAATACAGAGTAATTTTTTATTTTATTATAACTGTGATTAAAGTTTTTGTCTGATGTCAAAAATCATACGAGTACCGTTGAATTACTATAGATTTTTTTAGAAATTTTTTATTTTTACTTTTAGGGTAATTATTTCAAAAGAAACGGGAGGGCCGAGGGTGATCAAGTAAACATTCTACAATATTAAATATTGATTTTTTTAATGTTGACTTATACGCTTTCTAAAAACAATGCATGCATTGCAAGTATAAAAGGCTAGTAAAATCTAACACATCATGGTGTACAAGTTTTAACCAAAAAAATACCATTAAAAAATATTCAGAAAAGAAAATTAATCGATTATACATTTACCTGAAGTAGCAGCAAGGAGTAAGAGCATTAGAAGGGGGAGAAAAGCCATATTATTCACCATTTTAGAGCACTGTCAATGTATGAAGTTATGAACTAACAGTTTTGACTGAAAGCTAGTTTTGACTGTATATGTGACAATGCTTTATCAATGACCTCTTTTTATAGTGGAGAATTGGCTACTAATTAAATGTTGAGATCATGTTTGATATCATAACTTAGGATTGTTTCCTAAAATAATATAGCATTTATTAGGATAGAATTTATCTAGGGTGTATCTTGAGAATATTGCATTCAAGCAAAGCGTAAGAATGCAAAACACAAGGAAAAATCGTAGGAAACAATATTGCATTCTCATTCAAATAAATCAAACAATAATAACCAATATTATATAGGCATACATAAGCTGAAAATAGGAAAAACTAACTAATGGGATAGTGATCCGATCCACGCATGCATGCACTACATGATTTGCATCCAGTACATCCACTACTAACAACTTTTTCGTGATTGTTCCTTTGTTCAGTCTGTATGGGGGTATCTTCCTTGGGATATTTTTGCGGTTCCCTTGTTTGATGTATCTTCCAAATTTTCTTTGACTCGAGTTTGGTCTACTCTAGATCGTGTAGTGTGTTCAGTTTGCTTTCACTACAAGAAAACAGCTGGATTCTGACGGAAAAATTCCGTCGGAAACATAGGAAATTCCGTCGGAATCAAGCCTTTCAACGGAATTTCGTCGGAATTAGTCTGTCGCAGCACCCTTTGTAGGAAATTCGACATTTTCGGCGGAAATTCCGTCGGAAGGCGTTATTCCGATGGATCTAATTGTGTCGGCGCTGTTTTTGACTTTAATTGAAATTCCGTCGCAATTTCCGACGGAAATTTCCGTCAGAGGTGGATAGGTTTCCGACGGAATTTTCCGTCGGAAGAGGTATATTCCGACGGAAATTTCCGTCGGAAAAGTAAAAAAAAAATAAAAATAAAAAACAGCCCCCCATCCCACCTGCTCAGACCACCCCCACCCCACCTGCCCAGACCACCCACACCCACACCCAGCGCCACCAGCCTACATCCCCTGCCCCCATACCCATCCCCTGCCCCCTACCCCTTAACCGCCACCACTCCCCACCCCACACCACCAGCCCACGGCCTCACCTACCCTTTAACCGCCACCACTCCGCACCAGCCTCCACCACTCCACCAGCCCACACCACCCACCTTAACCCACCAGTCCCCCTAATCCGTACCATCAATCCACACCACCCCACAACCACCACCCAAACCCGAAACCTTCCAATAATACCCGAAACTACCCAAAAAAACCTGAAACCACCCAGATCTACCACCCAAACCTACGCCATCAAACCCACGAAACCACCAAAACCACCCACCACCTTCAAAAATCGCCACCAACCACCAGCCCACACATCACACACGCACACACAACAACTTTACACCAAAAAATTTAAAAAAAAAACAAAGAAAAAAAATCAGAGAATCGAAAAATTAAATAATAAAACATACAGTATTAATTGAAATGGGCACGAATTTCACCACGAAAACGGTTTAACAAGGCCAAATGCGGCCACGAAAAGTCTAGATCTAGGCTTTTAATGGTCGAATTTAGCCTAAAAGACCTTGAAAATAAACAAAACAAACCTCGTGGTGGCGGTGGTGTTGGTTACGCAGCGGCGATGGTGGTGGTAATTGGTTGCGCAAGGAGAAGAGAGGAGAAATGAGAAGGAGAAGAGACGAGAAATGAGAAGGAGAAGGGAGGAGAAGGAAGGAGAAGGAGAAGATAGATAAAGAGAGGGCGGAGGAGAGAGGAGATCGAACTGAGAAGAAGAAGAGAAATGGAGGAAGGAGAAGGAGAAGGAGAAGAGAGAGAAAGAGAGGGCGGAGGAGAGAGAAGGGGGAGAGAAGAGATTAGGAATCCAGAAGAAGAGGAAAGAGAAGAGGAGAGGAGAGAGAAGGAGAAAGGGGAAGTGGCGGAAATGGGGGGTTTGGGCTGTTTTAGGGTTTAGTTTGTTTAAGAGTTTGTTTTTTTTTTTAAAATAAGATTCTGACAGAATATTCCGTCAGAGACTTAATGTACTGACGGAAATTTCCGACGGATTTTAATTCTGTCGGAAATTCAACGTTTCGGCGGAATATTCCGTCGGAAGTTTCCGACGGATTTTATTCCTGTCGGAATATAAATTTTCCGACGAAATATTCCGTCGGAAAGCCCATAAATTCAGACGGATTTTTATTCCGTAGGGAATCCGTCTGAAATTTCCGACGGAATATAAATCTGCCGGAATATATAGGATTTCCGACGGAATTTTGTGTCCGTCGGAAGATGTCCGTCGAAATCTGGCCTTTTTCTTGTAGTGTTTGGACGATCTGGATTACCAGGAATAATTTGAGGTTCAGGTGTGAGGTTTATTCTCTGCAATTGGTGTTAACCACTAAATTGAAGACCTAATTTCAACATTAACCTATGATTTTGAGGCTACTAACTCCTAAAATTACCACAAACGTTTAATTTCTCCTTCTTTGGTCACGAGAGTTTGGCTGTGATTTAAGACCTTAGAAAGAAATTATAGTCTCTTGTATGCTTGTGTGGAGTAATTCTTAATGCCTACACCCCCTTTAGGCAGCCCTTACCCCCCCCCCCCGCTAAAAGACAAACTAAAACCCCCTTACTAACTGCACAATAACTACCCACTAACCATGGTAACTTCAATTAACCACCCCTACCCCACATATATATACATACAAAAGAAAAAGAAAAAAAACCAAAATTTTGTAGTTACATATGTTGAAATCATAAGGAATTATGTAAATATTCGTCAATGAAAATTGAATATAGTGTATAATTGTGCTAATTTTCTAAATTGGTTGAGCTTTCGTAGAATGACTGAGATTTGAATTAGTTTATAGTGGAAATGACTTTTCAACAAATGTTCCTTTTCATTTTAATAGATGTTCATTATGGTATTAGTATATGATAATTCACATTCAATAAACAAATGTTCATTTGAATTAAATACGTACATCTTAATTCTCATATCGAAAATATTCACATAGACTACAAAATACATATTCATCTTCATATTAATATATGCACATGATCGTGATTATTTAAATATTATACTACATACAATCTTACTCGCTCTAATTGATATATAGATGTTCATTTAATTTGGATATATGTATATTCTTACATACACGTGTTAATGTGTGTGTGTAATATATATATATATATATATATATATATATATATATATATATATATATATGCTCATTCATCGTAGACCTCTGATGATTCTATTATTTAAATATAATATAATCTTATAGTATTTCATTCACATATAACATCAATACATATTAAGTTGTATTTTGACTTATTGGGTGATTAATTAATAGTCATTTACACATTAATAGATATTCATTTGGATTTTGATATGTGTTCTTTTTCATATTAATAAATGTTCATTTAGAATTTAATACATGTTCATTTATATATTAACAGAGATGTTCGTTTGGATTTTATACTTTTTCATTCTCATATTGAAAGATTTTTATTAATCTATAGTGTGTTCATTCATTTTTTAATTCGTAATTTTTATTCATGTGTGAATGTTCAAAATTAAATACTTACATTTCACGTACTTTAGTTTGTAATGTGTTCATGATTGTTATTATTTTTCTTTTAAAAAAAATTAATCTCTTATTATATGTATACAGGATAATAATCAAGGAAGTCGAATTGAAGGAGACATATATATTATGCTCAGATTATATTATTTAAGGAAAACACACAAATAGCATATGATTAGAGGTGCAACAAGGAAGATATATCTATAAATACTTTATTATTCCAAATGTATTAAACAATATTCATTTACCAAGCACATATGTACATTTAGGATTTAAAAATTCACTTTCAAGTATATAAAACAAGTACATGTAACAATATTGAAATGTGTTATTATTGTAATTAAATTAAATTTCTTTTATATTGGAAATTATAAGACGTATGTATTTGCAAACATCTATCTTATTTTTTGTATTTGCATACATCTTATTGTATTACTTACACATACCTCTTGAAATGGACATTTGATGATGCAAAAATGAACATTTGTTGAAACATGAATAAATAAAAATGAATGTTTGATGATGCAATACTTCTTATAATAAAAATGATTTGAAGGCAGTAATCCTATAAATAGATTTGCTCTCACTTTTATTTGTAGAAAATTCTAAAAAATACAATTAAAAAAAATTATTAATTTGACCAGATTACTCTTTGTTAAAAAAATGAACATCTAATGATACAAAAATGAACATTTATCAATACAGAAATGAACATATTATAAAAATTTACGGGAAATTCATAGATGAAAAAGAGAGGGGCAAGGCACGCGCGGAGGGTGGGGGGTGCAGGCAGTGTTCCCTGTTGGGGGGTGTAGGTAAAATTTTCATGTGTGGAGTTGTATCACTAGACTTAACAGCCATGGGCCTATGGCTACTGGGCAGCTCAGGCACAATGGTAGTGTGGGCCAACAATGAATCATATCCGGCCCACTTAATCCACACCATGGGCTAGACTACAAATGGTGAAGCAGACTTAAGCCCGATTCTGAATAATATTGCAAGGTTCACACTTAACTTGATAATAAAGTTGAAAAGTACTATCGTCATTTAACAATAGGGAACGGATTTCAAACACACTACTTTTACTATTAGCTTTATATACATTAATCAATAAAAAAAAATATAAATTAAATTTAAAAAAATATACAGTATAATCAATCCAACAATACTATATAATAGATGAATAATAGACAAAGTCAAAACGTTGCATTTATTGTGAAACATATGTACATAGTATATGATTATAGTTTTAGGCGACGGTTTAAATTCAAACATGACCGATTCCGTGATTTTTGAGTGGTGAAGGTGTTTTTGAAGATGATGTACGAAATTAAGTACTCTAGAGATATTTAGAATTGACAAACAGTGTTGGATTAGAATTTTAAGATAGTAACAAGCAATAGAGCATTAATAGGTTTTGGTTAGACATAATTTAGAATTCTAAAAATTTGTTTTATTGCTCAGGGAAACAACAAAAAGGACAAGCATATATACATGCCTTTATCTTAACCATTTTCATCTAATAAACCTTTGGTGCAACGACTGAAAAACCCGGTGGCATAGGCTCATTTCTGGCGGCATTCGGTGGCATTGGCTCGTTTCTGGCGGCATTCGGTGGCATTGGCTCATTTTCGAAGGTATTTGGTGGCATAGGCTCGTTTCCGGCGGCGTTTGGTGGCATAGGCTCGTTTTTGGCAGCATTTGTTGGCATTAGCTTGTTTCTGGCGGCATTCGGTGGCATTGGCTCATTTCCGAAGGCATTTGGTGGCATAGGCTCGTTTCCGGCGGCGTTTGGTGGCATAGGCTCGTTTTTGGCAGCATTTGGTGGCATTGGCTCGTTTCTGGCGGCATTCGGTGGCATTGGCTCATTTCCGAAGGCACTTGGTGGCATAGGCTCGTTTCCGGCGGCGTTTGGTGGCATAGGCTCGTTTCTGGCAGCATTTGGTGGCATTGGCTCGTTTCTGGCGGCATTCGGTGGCATTGGCTCATTTCTGAAGGCATTTGGTGGCATAGGCTCGTTTCCGGCGGCGTTTAGTGGCATAGGCTCGTTTCTGGCAGCATTTGGTGGCATTGGCTCGTTTCTAGTGACGTTCGGTGGCATTGGCTCGTTTTTTGCGGCATTCGGTGGCATTGGCTCGTTTACGGCGGCATTCGGTGGCATTGGCTCGTTTGACATTGGCTCGTTTCTTGGGGCATTTGGTGGAATTGGCTCGTTGCTGGTGACATTGGCTGCGATAATAGGTTGTGTAAAATGTGAAAGTCTCCGTGGCGTGCTAGGAGATGATCCTGAATGAGATGGCTTTATATTAGTGGTTGATGTAAAATATGAAAGTCTTGGTGGAGTGACAGGAGAGAGTCCTGAATGAGATGGCTTTACATCAGTGGTTGATGTAAAATATGAAAGACTCGGTGGCGTGCCAGGTGATGGTCCTGAGTGAGATGGCTTTATATCGATAGTTGGTGTAAAATGTGAAAGACTTGGTGACATTCCAGGAGAGGGTCCAGAGTGAGATGGCTTTACATCGGTAATTGATGTAAATTGTGAAAGACTTGGTGGCGTGCCTGGAGATGGTGCAGAGTGAAATGGCTTTATATTAAACTCACGAGCCGATGTTCCTTTATTTTGAAAAATCACAATATTAAAAAAAGATGTAAGATATATATAGATTATAGATAGACAATTAATAAGAGAATTAACACGTCTTGTAAATAACATTACAAACATATATGAAGTACAAAAGTAGTATGCAAAGTGTTAAGTCATCAAATTATATAATAAATCAATTTCACCTAAAATAAAACTAACACATCGTGGTGATACCATTGGAAATTATTAAAAAGAAATTAATCGAATTGTATATATACCATAAGAAGAAGCAAGGAGTAAGAGCATTAGAAGGGGGAGAAGCGTCATATTCTTCACCATTTAGACTTTAGAGCACTGTAAATGTGTGAACCAACAATCTTGAAATAAAAGCTAATTTGTGTTTATGGATTTCTTGGCTTGTGAATGTAATTGTGACAAATGTTGCTTCAAGAATGTTCTCTTTTTATAGTGGAGAATTGACTACTATAATTAATGCTCAAATCCATCTTGATATTGTTTTTAGAAAGATATCAATCCTTACAGATTCTACATTAATTACTCCATGTTTTTTCCTATTATATTTAATTCATACATTTTTTTTTTCATGTTTGACCAATATATAAATTCAACCATTAATAGTTTTAAGGAAAAATTGCCTTTGAATAATCCGAAATTTGCCTCATCTGTCCAAAATAATCACAACGTTGGATTATTTGTTAATAATCCGAACTTTAATGTAAATTTGCATTTAATGATCCCAACTGGTCATATAACTAGTTATAACAAGTTACCTGACATGTGTCAACATGTAATTGATCATAAAAAATAAATGAAATTTTTTTTAACAGAAAAAAAGTAAAAAAAAAAAAACAAGTTAGGTTTTGGATCAAAATAATTAAACTCGGTGTTAGGCGTCGGCGGAAGGGAGTGGGGGTCTAGTCGTGGCGGGGATGGGGCGGAGGCGAAAGGGTGGGCGGGGGTGGGGGTGGGGAGGGTGGATGGTGGTGGTTGGCTTTATTTTTTTAATTATTTTTATTTAGCTAGTTAAGTGTTAATTAGTAACTAATAATCTAGATATTTTCTTAAGTGTTAATTAGAACTTTTGACCAATCACGTGTAATTTTTTTTTTTTTTTTAAAAAAAAAATACCTAGTCAACTAGTTACATGTCACTTGGGACCATTGGGAATAAATTCCATTAAAGTTCGGACTATTGAAAAAGAATCCAAATTAAAGTTGGAATGATTTTGGCGGATGAAGCAAAGTTCGGATTATTGTGGGCAATTTTTCCTATTTTTAATTATCAAATTATAGAATTAAATTTGAATAAACTATACATTGAGACAAATCTAACCAGATCTCATTTGACTAATTGAAATGGAGTATAACAGAATGTAATTAAAATGGAGTACGTAAATAATGTACATTGTAGAAATGTAGTAAGTATATCAATAGAGAGTAAAAAGTGAATAATGGTATGTTATATTAACCTGATTTTATTTATTTAAACTTATCTTAACTAAACCTTCTTAACGTATCATAACTTATTGTAGTTGTGAATTGAACTTGGGTTTCACTTATTAAAACAAGTAAGTGAAACAAGGTAAAATAGGCAGGGCCTAGAGTGAGTTTATATTTTAATCTTACGGTATAAAGAAGAAATTAATTGTTTAGAGACATTGTTATTATTATATATACTTCCTTCGATTATAGCTCCAATGAATCTCTTTTTACGTTTGGCAATGTGTAACTATTTCAATCAAAGATATTTTTAATTAGTAATTATTAATAAGTGAAAAATTATACTCTCCTCGTTTTCCCCACTTCTACATACTCAATTACTGTAGCTATGCAGACCAATAAAAAGTGAAAAATGGAATCATGCATTTGATTACTTTTGCTTTAAAGAATAGAGAAATATATAGAGAGTATGAGTTTTATTAAATATTATTGGACCTCATAATAAAAAGAGGTTATATATTATAAAAAAATAATTAAAAAGTTGTCTTAAAAAGATTAAAGAAAAAATGAGTAAAATTTAGAAAAACAGATGAATATGAAAATTGAGTTGAACTTAGCAAGAAAAGGGAGGAATTACAAATAATTAGGCCTGTTCATGAATCGAATATCCGTTCCGAAAAATCAGAAACTGATATTCAAATCCGATTCGAAAATTTCGGATATCCATTATCCAATATTAAGTAAAATTGATTATGATTACTTTCTAAACTTCACTAATTTTACCGCTTTTTTGTCGTTAAGTTGTACATAATATTTTAACAAAATAGTAGACTTTTTGCAATAAAAATTATCATCAAATATATTAAGAATATTATAATAAGTTAATAATACAAGGTCATTTTTATATGAAGAATTTAAAAATTATATATATATTTCACTATTTCAGCCTTTATATTTCGGATATCAGATATCTGAAATTTTGAAAATCAATATCCAAATCCGCATTCGAAATGAAAACTCGGATCGGATATCCAAAAATTCGGATCGGTTACAGATCGGATTATTGGGTGTTCGGTTTCTCGGATAGTTTTGTGCAGGCCTACAAATAATTAATATTGTAAAGATATAAATTGAGACGTATTTAACAAGACTCGACACAATGAACTTATCAAGATCCCACATAATTGTAAAGACTCTTGTTGCATAATTAAAAAAAAAAAAAAGTTAAGTATAAGATCATGTACTCTTCACCTTAAAATAATAATATTCCATAAGAATAATTCATGTACAATAAAAATAAGCTTAGTTCTCAGCAAAATAAATTTTAATCAGTACAAATTAGTAATTTTATAGAATAAATATAATAGAGAATCATTGGTAAAAATAAATTTTAGTCCATTAAAAATAATTTTAATTTAGCAAAAATAAGGTGAAGATAATAGGGAAGTGGATCATGTAGTGGGGTAACGAATTGAATGCTTAGTAATTGAGAAAATTTTCTTTGTCATAGAGGGTTTCAAAAACAAGAAGATTATAAAATAAACAAATAACCTTAAACAAACTTGTGTTTATTAATGATAAGATAGAAGAAAGCTAAGGTCCTCTCCTCTTGGACCGTACCAATTAGCAACATATCAATACGTACAATTGTACAAATTGCTACGTATGAACTAATTCAAAATGTTACATGGTCTAAACATTAATAAAGTTGCAACATCTTTTATATATATTTGGGAGCATTACATAGAAGTAGGTATATCTAAGAATACTTTTTTTGCTCATTTAATTAATTTATTTTTTGTTCATTTGAAGATTTTAAAATAAGAGCAATATGTAAAATGAGCAGAAAATAGTATAATTTATTTATGATAAAGAGCGGTTAGCTTACCTATAATCTTTCATTTACAAAACGCCAACCCGAGTTGTTTTGTTTTACAAAACGGTTATCAAATTTGACCGTTCTCTATCTTGCATTGCGTTTCTTAATCCACTCTTTGTACTAGTGTTTGATTTGTTTTAGGATACTTGAACTGAGTTTATTTGTACGTAGTATTAAATTTTGGCAAATTAAAAAAGCGAATCATAGTTGGGGCATTGTAGATTTGTAGTCATGATTTATTTATCTCTTTAGGGTCTTTTTCTTTATAATTAAATATCACTTGCAAAGTTTCAAGACTTTCATCTATAAATTTCCATGCAAATTTCAAGACTTTCATCTACAAGTTTCTTATTCATCTTTTTTTGGGTGTTTTTGCATTGCCTTTTCGATTTAATTTTTCTTCAGCTGAATTTTTCTTTTGAAAAAACACTGTTGAAAATAGTTATTTATTTTCTTTTGCTAAAGTTTTCTCAAACCTTTATATTATCTTCAATGTTTTTACCACCCCTTTAAAACTTTCTTAAATTTTATTCGTGGTTCTCTTTAATTAACTCCTTTATTCTATCTTGGATGCTCTTACTTTTTCTCACTTTACTCACCTTTTTTGCAAACTACTTTAACTAATTATCTTGTTATGTCTCTTTCTTTATATCGTACAGTTTCTTATAATGATTCATATTAGCTGATTCCAAATAATTTGGGACTAAGGCTTTGCTGTTGTTACTGCTGTTATTATAGTAATAGTAGTATATGGGTTATTAAACTATAAGATAGTTTTGTAATGGCAACATTAATTTTGTAGCCATTATAACCCTTTGATCATAACCATCCATTTTCTAGTGTTAAGTCTACATCGTTCATCCATTGACTAAGCTATATATCTGTTTTTTTACCATGAAAAATACTTTATTTCCCTTTCCTCTTTCACTTTCCCCTTGCCCTCCCTTTCTTAATCAAATTCTCTGATGATTTTCAGCGTAACATCGCACTATCTCCATAGAATGGCCTTGGCCTTGGCCTGGACAAGTTGCTACCTAACATTTTTGTTCTTTTTATAAGTAAAAAACCTAGTTGGCAGATTTAATTTCCCGCTTAATTGCCACAATTAACGACGACAGGATGTTTCCAAATCATAAGTCTCTGCAATGCTTATATGTAATAGTGAATAAAATAAATCATGGAAATTAAGTTATATATTGCTGGAAGTTTGGAATTGTTTAATATGTTATTTGGATTTTTTTTCTTTCTTAATTTTAGAAGGCGTCATCATGTTTGAAAATTGAGACTGGAGAATAGATATTCAATTCATGAGTGTTTTTCATTTTTCTTTTAATGGTTTAGATTAAAAGTAGTTACAGTGGCTACAATTTTAGTGTAGCTATTGAATAATCTTCCTTAAAATATATACGTGCATGAGATGTCTTTATGATAGGGAGTATTGATATCCATAAGAACAACCACCCATAAGATTATTAGTTTATTTGAGTCAAGGTCTGGGAAAGTTTACGCATACATGATTAATAAACAATTGCATGTATTACAATAGTATTTCCAAAGGACATAAGAAAGATTATTGAATAAGTAAATAAGCTAAAATAAAGGAATCAAGTACAAGTATATATTATTGTCAAGATGAATACAAATATTTTATCTCATAAAAAGATATCATTCTCATCTTCTCGATAAGATGTATACATGACAAATTACAAACTACGGAGTACTAATTAAATCCTACAAGTACATCATCAAGTAATGTAAGAAAATTACAAAATATTTGATATTTGAAAAGAACACAAATGATAAAGGGAAGATAAAAATTAAGGGTTCTTCTACTAAATTGCCTCAATCTAATGTAGCAATTTCTCTCAAAATATATAAGATAAAGCCCAGCCCAGCTACAAAGTAGGCTTATTAATTGACTGTCATTTTTATATATAATTTTTATTATATGATGGTAATTAATTAATTAACCAATTAATTAATTATTCCTAATATATGTGTTTACATACCACAACAACAGACATTTCTACCAGGAACAGCCATGCACCCTCCATCTTGACCATAAAATGTCTGGCAATTTTCATTGCATTTATCGACATCGCATTCACCGGCGGTCTCCATACAAGGCGGCTCGCCTTCACCATCATTGCCCACGGGTGCTTGGCTTGGAGCGTCACCAAGTTTTTGTTCGTTCAACATTGGTTCCAAAAGAGGTAAGAAATCTGCATAGGACTGAGCTAAACTTGTGCCTGCAATTTCATTAAAAAAAAAAAAAAAAACGTAAATTAATTCATAATAATTATTTAATATTGTTTTTTTTTTTGAAAGAAATTATTTAATATTGTTTTTTATATGTATAATTGTGCAAGAAATGAATAATGAAAGTATAAAATTATTACAGCAAAAGCTGAAGAGGACTAATGTAGCCAGGAAAACTGCTGATCCCTTCATTATTGATGATCTTGATAGAATTTTAGAGAATTTTTGTGATATTAGCTAGATTATTGTATGTGATTATTACGTAAAAACTAATTATGAAAAAGATTGAAGATAAAATGTCAATTTATACATAAGGGGCATTTCCAACTTTATGAACAATGCATTATTTTTTGGAAAATTAAGGGGGATCAAAATAGTAAATGTTGTTTTACCCTTTATTTTTAGAGGTGTAGAAAATTAACCTCGTCAACGTCCTCTCATATTTTAGCGTGTGAATTGTCGTCTTACATTGAATATAATTAAGTTGTACAAATGTTCAATAATATAGAACTCGATCTATTATTTAAATTAAGTTAAACCAATTAAATGTGAGAAGAGTATGAAATTATGTTAAGTTATTTCGAACCATTTATAAGCAATAAATTTCGCTTCCATAATTTTCTTCTGTGCACACTTTGTGCAAATGTATAGGGGTTCTTATATAAAGTATATATGTTACTTAATATGACTACAATTGAATATAAATATGCAAAATTAATTAATTATCAAATCAATTTTTGTAGTTAATAGACAATTAAAGTTCATTGTTGGTGAGTTAAAGATTAGTGATCCTTAAATGACACACAACTTGCAAATTGTACATATATAATGCACTCATTGACTCTCTTTCAATATAATATATAATATAATACTTCGAAGCAATAACCTTTTCTCTTCCTCAAAAAACAAAAAAAAAAAAAAAAAAAAAAAACAAAACAAAACAAAAAATAATAATAATAATAAAAAAAAAATTGTATATTGCAAATTGTGAATTTGTATGAAAATACGGAATGGAGAACTTTATGCATATTATTCATATACACCCTTTGTTTCTAGAATACAAAAACGTCCATTATTATTTGATTTGAATACTTGGCAATGTAGATTTTTTTTTTTACCGTAAGTTTATATCTTACTTCCTCTAATTTGTTCTACTTGCAACACATACAATATCAAGGAAAAGATGATTACGCAGTATCAACTAATTTTGTCAAAATAATTTTAACAATGAAATATGATGAAAAGATTAGGTACGGAGTATATATTGTGTTTCAACTTTCAAGTAATGAAAACACATGGAGTATACAGTATTAATAATCCAATAGTATTTTATATATTCATATATGTAAGAAAATATAGTCAAAGCTAGAATATGAATGATACAAAAGTCAAAGTGATGAATAATTCAATAACATGCAAGGAAGTACAACAAAAGGAGAATAACATATGTACATAGAAAGTATGTCACAAAAAAATTGTACACATTCAACTGTATTTAGAAAGTTCATAATTACATTATTCACAATTTTTTGTTACTAGTTATTCATACCACCTTTATGTAATACTACGTTTAGTATATACAAATTTAAATAATTTGAGTTCCTCAGTTTTCAGTAGTAGCACAGGACCTCCAAAACATTTAAGAAGACCTTGATTTCAGGAAGGAGGTGCAAAATTCTCCCCATTCCACTTCAAGCTAGCTCATTCCAAGGACTTGGCTTTACTCCAAACCAAAAGAATATAACCTTTTTAAATGACTCAAAAACCTTAGTTTCATCCAAAGAATATAACCCCCAAATCTTGTAATAAGGCCACAACTATTGTGGGTAGTTTGTTCTTTGTTGTGTGGGACCATGCATGGAATTGTTGGCAAAATAAGACACCGGTCGAGAGAGATCCGACAAATGCTAATAAAATCGGGTTATCTTGCAAAATTAACCCGACAAGTTGACCCGTGTGAAACTCTAATTGATAGGACTACTTATCTTGCAAAAATACACACAGGGAAGGACATTATACAAAATGATTGCCTTCTTTCTAAATTCAATACACTAAAGAATAATGTATCTTTGTTACACGCATCACTAACAAAGGAAGAAAAGGAACAAGATTCATATGATTTCGGAATGAGGAACATACTTGGATGGAGGGGCAAAGTGAGGTTTCATTGACTATCATTTTTTTTTTTTTTTTTGAGGAAAGGTTTCATTGACTATCTTAAATAAAGACTTTAGAGGCATAAAAACCATGCATAGAAACCAAAACGGACTCAATCCGTAGAAGATTGATTTGGGCACACTTGATGAAGCATAACTTTAACCATACGTATTACAAATAATTTATAATTATAAACTTTATAAAAAATTAATGTAATGAATATACACATTATGAATAATCTAGAAACATTTTATATCATACGAATAATATTAATTTTTTTTTACTTAGTATAAAGTATACTTCAATATTGAGACTTATTCGTTCAAATTCAAGAAATACTAGGGGGAGATTATTTTATCACAACTAGAAAACAACTTTTTTTCGACAGAAAATTCTGTCGGAAAGATTTCAAAATCTGAAACACCTTTCCGACGGAATTCTGTCGGAAAGGTTTGTTGTAAAACATTTTGTAGGAATTTTGACATTTTTCGAGGGAAATTCCGTCGGAAACACATATATTGACGGAATTTCTGACGGATTTCAATCTGTCGGAGGCTGGTTTGACTTAAGTTGAAATTCGTTGCAAAACTCCGACGGATGTAATTCCGTCAGAATATACCTTCCCGACTGAATATTCCGTCGTAACAAGCAAAGTTTCCGATGGTGAGGACGAATGGTGGAACATATGTAGAAGTTGGGGAAACGACTCATTATCTCATCCCACCTCTCCTTGTTTCTCCTCTCCATGTCGGTCATTGTGGCTTCAATTCAGTTTTGCATCTCGACATCCATTTCACTCCGGATTTCACTGCGAAGAGCCTGCACAGTTTTTTTCTTCACAAAATTAAAGATATATAGCGATAAAGAACTGCACATAAAACGATGATCTGATCTGAACTTATTTTTTTTGATATGATCTGATCTGAACTTATTTTTTCTGAAATAAGTAAAAATAAGTTGAACTAACCAAGGCCTAAGTATATTTTCCTAATGTTATATTCACCAATATATTAAAGTATCTTATGCATTGCACGAATCGGAAAACTAACTATTACATTATAATATAATGAAGATCTACTAATATTTGCTTCATCAACTACTGCTGCATAGATTACATTATTTAGATTGTTCATACTAATTTTAAGTCATTAAAGAAATACAAAATAAGTGATTTAAAAAGACACTTTATGATTGAGCTGGCGAAGAAAGAGGTGTAGAATTCTCCTTAGTCAAGGATCATTCCAAGACCTTGGCTTCACTCCAAACCAAAAGAATATAGCCTTTTCAAATGCCACAAAAATCTTATTTTCATCTAAAAATTTGTTCCAAATTCCACTTACTATGCAATAGTTACTATGGGTTGAGTAGAGCTCGGTTCGACTTTTGTGGAAATGGACATTGGACACATTCATGCTATAAAGTGTTTGAGAAGGGATGGTACCTTCAATAAAAAAAGGAAATGGTGGAAATACGTACACGGAAGATCAATAATAATAAAATTATCAATACTAACAAAAAAAAATTAAAAAATTGTTGCCGGTTGGAGTTTATGAAAAGGCGGCCTTTTTTGGGCAAACTTGCCAAACTTGTGGAGGGCAAAAAAAAAAAAAAATGTAATTAAATATAAAAATAAGAAAATCATAAAACAATACAGTTTATCCTGAATAAGCTAATCAAATCATACAATATTCATGTGGATATCTCTAAGCTAATAGAGGCTGTTACAGTTTATCTTGAATAAGTTAATCAAGTCACACATTATTCATGTGAAAATGTATTTTTTTTCCCCTTAAGATACGTTTTATTTTTCAACCATTAAATTAAAATACTTCGTACAAATTTTTTTCCCCTTATGATACGTTTTATTTTTCAACCATTAAATTAAAATACTTCGTATAATATTTGTTCAAATTATTGTCGTATATAAGAAGGGTTGCACAAAGTTTGATTTTAAGAAAATATTTTAACAGAAAAGAATGTGACAATAGATACTAGAGAAATTTTTCTATGTGAATGTGAGGGGAGCTCCAGTTTTTCTTCATGAGAAACACTTTTGTTAATGAATTAATTTTCCCAAAAAAAAAATTAAAAAATAAAAAATATTAGCTTAATTTTATTTTTTGACGGAATTAAAAATATAATTTTACTAATGGTTAAAACGACATAACACTCCATGTAGTCCGTAGTATTGAAACTGATTGACTTTGCTGGTTTCCTAATAAGACTTTGTTCTAAAAATCTCTTACCCATCCTTTGAATAATCGATCTATATATACACACAAAAATTAAAGAATAGTTTGCGTAACGTATGCAAAAAATTTCTTCCATTAAGAATTTCTTGTATACAATAAAATGGAGAAGATGATACTTCACGAATTGTTGTACAAACTAAAATATATTGGAGAACAAATGTTTAAATAAAAAAAAGTATATGAACAGAAAATATAATAGAAACTTCATCATTGAGGCAAGGAAGAAGGTATAGAAGTCTCCTCAGTCCATTCCAAGCTAGGTTCACTCCAAGACCTTGGCCTAACTCCTAATTGAAAAAATATAACCATTTCAAGTGCTTCAAGAATCTTATTTTCATCTAAAAACTTGTTCCAAATTCCACTTACTATGCAATAGTTACTATTGTAAGGAGAACGATGATGATTAGCATGTTCTAATCGCGACACTAGTACCCCCGAATCTTGTAACGTTACTACAATTGGTGGTAGCTTGCTCTTTGTTGAGTGTGACCATGCATGGAATTGTTGGCTAAACATGATGCAACCCGAGAAGGATCCGACAAATGCGAGTAGGATCGGGTCGTTGAGGACTAGGTTAATGGGTAAAACCGTGAAGGTTATTATTCGGGCTAATGCATGGAGGTTGTTAGCAAATTGGCGCTTTGTGATGGTCCATGGCCATTTGTGGTGCCCTTGGAAGGCATCTATTTGGCCTCCAAATAACGGGGTTGTTGCATCCCCATAGTTGTCTATGCCCCAATGGTAGACTCCGGACCCTAGATCTGCCAAAATGTACCCGACTAAGCCAGATAAAATAGGCTTGGCCCAGATATGGGAATCTGTTGAAGCAGCTACACACTTGGCTAGAGAAACTAGCAAAGTTGTGCACCCACTAGCCAACCAGGCTCTATGGCCCCATGTGGATTTTAAGGCCGGATCATCCGGCCTAGGTCCTTTAGGGGTTATGGGAACTTGAGCCGGTGTAGGAGGAGTAGAACTTGGTTTGACTACTAAACGGGTCGGACCAAGGTTTGGTTTTACCGGGGTGGCGGTGCAACGAACCTGAGTTCGAATGATGTGGATAATTTGGTAGTTTTTGTTAGCATGTTGGTAAGGAGACTTAAAGAGGTTCTTTTGTTGAGGTAAGATTGACATTGGACATTAAGGTAGTATGTAGACTTGCAGGGTGCCCAAGGGGATTAATATGATAGAGGTTGGTATTTTTATAAGTGGACAATATATTTTGTAAATACGTTTACTAGAAAATAATAATTAGAAATATAATAAATAAATGAATGAATGAATGAATGTGGTTGGAGTTGATGAGAAAAGACTTGTGGTGGATGAGAAGATAGAAGAGATAAGTAGTGTGGTATAGAGAAGAGATGCGTGGGACTATTTGGATGCCTCAATTTAGAAACTTTTTGGATGGTGATATGGGGGTCACTTGTTTAATTTAGTTACGACTTATAATCATGTCAATTAGTTAGTAGAGTACTTCGTATTAATTAGTAAGTCATATTTGATATTTTGGTATCAAAGCTTGATCTTATTTCGATTGAAAACTATTTGGATTCATTAATTATTAAAAATACGTGGGGCTATTAGGATGCCTCAGATTACAGGATGGATCATATATACAAGTGTTTTTACTTTTAGGATAAAAAAGATGTTGTTAGAATGTACTTTTTCTGTTTCACAAATATTACAACAAGGATAAAATTATGCATCCCACAACACATTTTATATGTTAAATATCTATAATTAAATAAAAGTAAAAATTATATTAAGTTGATATTGTGAAAGTATTTTACGAGACGAATCTAACAAAATCCTACATAAATTTATTTTACTTTACGTATAAATCATAATTTGTGATCAAACAAGCATGATCCAGTTGTTGTAATATTACAATATAAGTAAAAGAAAAATAAATAAATAAATAAATAAAATCAAAAGTTTTTGTAACTGAATAATGTACTCCGTAATGAGTAGAATTCTAAACACGTATAGAAACTAAATGTGATCAGAAAGAATTGAATATGTAAACGTAATTCTATCTATATTATGTGGATGTCAACAATCGTAGTTGGTGAAAGTTTTACACGATGGTACTAAAGGCATGAGTTCAAAACCAATATATTGTATACATCATAATCCCTTTATGGCTTTTTCTCCAACAAATTAATTTAAAAAAAAAAAAAAAAAAAAAAAGCTGTATCAAGGGTCACAGATAGAAGGAATCAAGGAACAAGCTCAAAGAATTAGGATGTATTCTGAACTCATTTCTTTTATCCTAATTATTTTCCTCCACAAATTTACAAGTATTGCATTTGGCAATTCAGCTTGTCAAAAATTAAAGGTAGAAAAGAAAAATGATACTTATACGGAATTGGTTGTCATTCTTATCAACTAGCTCCTCTTTGTTAGAAAGGAGCTGGTGTGCTAAAATAGGCAAATAGCCGTATATTCCAAGATGCTACTAAGAACATGAGGCAGATATGAAGTAGCTTATGTTCAACACATTGCTTAGTGCTTACCTTTTTCCTTTTACTTTTCAATTTCGATTCTAATTTTTGGAGCTAACTAGTACTCCTTTTGTCCCTATTATTTGGCCCCATTTGACTTTACACGATTTTTTAGACGCGTTTTAAAACGTATATATCTCCATTTCTATAACTGTAAAAAAATTTAAAAACTTGATATTAATAAAATATCAATTAAGCGAATCCAACAAAATCCCACATAACTATATTATCTCTTATAGATTAATGAAAATCTATATTCAAAGTTATTAAAAGTTGACCCAAAGATTGGCTATGGGGCAAAAAAATAAGGACTGAGGGAGTACTCCATCTATTTCATTAATAATGGACTAATGGTGATGGCTGATAGGCCTGGTGGCTAATTGATTTTTGAGTATATAAGAGACTAATAGACCTAGAAGAATGCTATAAAATACCACGATATGTAACTAAGCTATGTAAGAGTGAGGGTATAAAAACTGTTGATTTGCTACGGGCGTAACTTTGTAGATAGGAAATTTTATGAGCAAGACCTAATTTTCACCTTGACAATCAAATGGTATTTTTGTAAATATGTTACATTGAAGTTTATGTTTTTTTATTAAAAAAATATATATTTACTGTTTGTGGGCCATTGTAATAATGTTGACTGAATTTTTGCAGTTAACGGTGTTACTGTTCGTCTTCTTCTCCACCTTCCTATTCATCTTCTTCTTTCTCTTGTTCTTTTTCCTTCCTCCCACCCACCTCTATCTTCTTCCTCCAATCCACACCCACTTTCATCTTCTTTCCAAGCCATTCGACTCCACGAGCACCACCATTTACAACGGCTTTGCCGCCGAAATTCAACGAAAATCCAAATAACAAAGAGAGAAATAAAAGGGCATGGTTAACCCTAAAGGGTAGGTGAGTTAATCCTCCATTGATTTCGACTTTTGCACCACCAATTCCGGCAGCTTCGCCGCCAAAATTAAACGAAAACCCAAATATCAAAAGGAGAATAAAGGGTATGGTTAACCCTAAAGGGTAGTAAGCTTTCGTTCCTCCATTGATTTCATCTAGCTTGATGTTGTAGTAAATTGCACATTTTTTGCAATTAAAATAGAAGGTTGTAGAAGGAGAGAGAAAATCAAAGGAAAGGGGACAACAACTAACACTATTTAGTTGTCAATTACATAAATACCCCTTAATAAACATGAATTGTTTATCAAGGTTATAAACTTGTATTTTCTCAATTATTATTATCAATCTTATTATTTAAAAAAAAAAAGGAGCTAAATTATTATTTTTTTATTTAGATGATTTTTGAGAAATTAAAAAATAAATGTGAAATCTAAAAATAAAATTTCTAGTCATTACAACAACAAGAAAATGCCCCTGGGCCAACCCTAAAACACTCATCTTTTTCGCAAGGAGTGGAGAAATTGCATCCACTGTCACATTTTTGAAGCATATAACATCTCTGATGTTGATCGACAATCTCTGCTCTAGAATTCAAAGCCAACTCAAAAGGATCTAAATGATCTTGATTTGATATCCCTATTCAAAAATTATTAATCACAGTACTTATATATTCGTTTCAAAATAGGTCGGCTAACATAAATCGTAAGAGATAAAAAAAAAAACAAAAAAACAAAAATAAAAAAATTAATTAACCTACAAACAACCAAATACTATAAAAGATTTTAAACTTACCATGAGAAGTGACAAAGAGTAGCACCAAAAAGAGGGACAACAAGGTAGAAATTTTCATGTTCAAGAACTTCACAAAAATGTTGAACACTAGTGAATGTGTGACGCGGTGTTCTATTGACCTGATTTTACTTATTTAAACTAATCTTATCTTATCTTATCTTATCTTATCTTATCTTATCTTATCTAATCTTATCTTATCTTAACTTATCTTATCTAGCTAAACTATATCCAACCTTATTATGGAGTAATTTTATTATAATTGTACATTTAATTGCTTGATGGGTATAACCCTAGAGGTAGAATTGTCAATTCGGGTAAATGGGTCGGGTTTGGGTCGGGTTAGTGATGGTCAAGTCAACTCGGGTTGGTCAATTCGGGTTAATGTTGTAACCTATGCGGGTCGGGTTCGGGTTGGGTCATGCTTGAGTCGGGGTAGGTCGGGTCATATATCTTATTGGGTTTAGGTCGGGTCAATAACAGGTTGGGTTACATTCGGGTCAGGTGCATAATAAGTCGGGTTTAATTCGAGTTTTAACTGGTTAAAACGAGTTAGGGTCATTCTCAGGTTCGAGTCGGGTTCAGTTCAAGTCAATAATTTGCAGGTTATAATCAGGTCGGATCATGTTTGGGTTCGGGTCTCAAATATTGGATTAATTTGGGTCTCAGGTTGATTTTAGCTCGGGTCACATCGGGTTCGGGTATATTTTTTGGGTCGGTTTGTTAACAGTTTATGTATTGACGTTCACAAAGCCAATAAATTTCAAGGCATTAAACCTAAGTTATTATTTGCTCTAATAATTATTTAGCTAGTAAAAATGATTTGGTCCTAATTCTTAGGTATCTCTTCCAAATCGAGCAAGGTCAAAATGATTAGAAAAAAATTAAGCAAATTAGTCAAGCAAATTAAGGGAGCTAGAGCAAATAATATTCTAAGTTATTATTAGAATTAGACCCGAAAAGACTACATCTATGGCTATAATTGATTTTAGAATGCTAATATACAAGCTTATGCGGTTATGCCAATATAATTTAATGAAAGATTGAGGGAAAATTTTCCTTGCTTATCATTACGAGAATAACCGCATATATACAATGTTCATGCCTTCGTCAATCATCATAGGCTAAACTCTAGCTAACTATGTGCAGATAATTATCAAGCTAATTATCTCCTTTGACTATATAACAATATATACAACAAATACTAGGGAACTACAGCCTATAATTGAACTTCGGGTCATGCTTGAGTCAGGTCACGTCGGGTCATACATCTTATCGAGTTTGGGTCAGGTTTAGGTCGGGTCAATAACAGGTCGGGTTACATTCGAGTCGGGTGAATAATAGGCTGGGTTTAATTCGGGTTTTAACGGGTTAAAACGAGTTAGGGTCATTCTCGTGTTCGAGTCAAGTCAATAATTTACGGTTTATATTCAAGTCGGGTCATCTCCAGGTCGATTCATGTTCGGGTTCGGGTCTCAAATATTTGGGGTAACTCGGGTCTAGGGTTGGTTTTAGGTTAGGTCATATCGGGTTCGGGTCACATTTTTTCGGTTTCAAATAGGTCGGTTAATAAGCGGGTTCGGGTAAATTTTTCAGATCGGGTCAGCTTTTGACAGCTCTACCTAGAGGTGATCAGCTATGGCCCGACTCGCTAATCCGACTTGATTTAGCCCAAATATAGGGCGGGTTTAGGCAAGCCTAAAACCACATACATTTTAGTTTAAAGCTCGAATCCAGCCCAAAAAACCTCAAAATACGCTTTGGCTCGACAAGCTCGCTACTGTTTTGCGCGTTCGGGCATGAGAAGTCACTACAACAAAAAGGGGAATTAGCAACTGATTTTTACGACTACCATAATAACCAGTTGCAAAAATTATTTTTGCGACTAAAAAGACGAGTACTCGCAAATTTTACAACCGATTTTGCAATAGTTGCTATGCGGTCGCTAATTAGCAACTGATTTTTGCTACTACCATAATAATCAGCGGCGACTGAAAAAGACGAGTTGTCACAAATTTTACAATCGATTTTGTAGTAGTTGTTAGGCGGTCGCTAATCTGCAACCCTCTTATAATTTTTTGCCACTAAATTGTAATTGCTAGGGTTAATAATTTCGAAACCATTCTTTTTTAAAAAAAAAATTTGCTACCGACTATTATTGCAACTAACACAGTAGTCGCTACCATTGTTTTTAAAATTTATTAAAAAAAAAAAAAAAAAAAAAAAAAAAAACCTTA